CTAGYATYTAATCCGGTGARGTCACTTCCGGGTTGCAGACTTGGGTCAAGTTTGTTTACTAGAAGGATTTCTGTGAAACAGACTTGGGTCATACATGAGATCAGAAGATGAAACCAGGTTTTTAGGAGAGGACCTATCTCTTTGTTGGGGTACACAGGAGAGGGTCAGAATCCAGAAGGCAGATGACTGAACAGTTCCGACAGGGGCGAAGACAGAAGGCAAAGTTCTGGAGGCGTAACCAGAGGTCAAAACCAGGATATCAGAGTCCATTACGGTACCGTTCAGGGGCGAGGCAGGAGACGTGAATCCAGAGAGCAGGAGCAGATTGTAGGCAGGAAGCAGGTAGACATGACATGACTGGATTTAAGCAGAGCACAGGCGTAGTTCATGGCAATGTAAATAAAATTTGATTGATTGATTGATTGATAACACTAAAAGCTATCAGCATCAGCTAACTAGACTTACAAAGTGTTTAGTGCAAATTAAAGCCAACAAGTTAAAGGCGACATACGTCAAATTATTTGCAACAGAACTGCCAAACTTGCTTTGGATTTACCAACTACAACTTGGTGGTCTTCATTCTCCTCTGGCTCTAGGTCAGACTCTGGCTTCAACATGTAAGGCTGAATGGACAAGTCACTATATAGTCGTAAACCCCTTTATCAAACTGGAATGGACCGGTCTGGAAGCAGGAGGGGAGCAAGGTGTGATGTGCCTCCTTTAGATTTAAAGAGACAGCCTCAAGACGAGTTGATCTGAGACACCTCAGAAAAGAAAGAGGGGCTTGTAGAGTTACAATAAGGAGGATTTCAGACCAAAGCACTGCAGTTCCACTTTATATAGACCCAAACTGAAGGACTTAAATGTGAAAAAGAAAGATTTAAAAGTGTGATATYTCTACTTTAAACATCTTCTCGCCTCTAACCTAACCACTGAGTCAGACTTTTTGACCCAATATTTGATCAAACCAACCCAATTCATCAACTGAGTTATGAAAACAACCCGTCAGCAGGTTGCAGAGGCAACAGGTCCAGGAGAGAAGCTCAGATGTATATTATAAGACCCCCAAATAAAATTAAACCAACTAAACTGGTGAAATTTGCACAATTTTTACCCTGTGTTTGTTTAAACTTGGTGGAATGTTAGAATATCTGCCTGCAGACACATTGTAGACTGTATTTGTGCATCAAAGTAAACACAAGGTGCAAATGTCTTCAAACTTTAAACCCAGTCCTTCAATTCAGACGAATGGAGAGCTTCTTTGTGAGTTTAACGCCCTATAGATGAAAGCAGGTTGCGTCTATTTATACCAGCCGCCCTCGTCTGCCTCTGTTCTGTGTGTTTATGTTCAGAGCGTCTGGCATGGGGGCAAACAGCAGAGTGCCCCTCGTGTTCTCGAGGATCACTGTCGATGGCCCTCGTGCAGCATATTCCGGCGCGGCGCTCTTTAAATACAGACACCAGCTGTTGAACGCTTCGACGTCAGCACTCAGAAAACAGGTTCACACAAGTGCCGAGGGGCCATCCAACGCAGGGGTTTTGTGGATGAGCACATGCAATGATAATATTTTAACACAATGGCTGATGAGTAGAATAGCTTTACACCGCAACTGCATGCAGGATTTGAAGCCAGGTAAACACACATAGAGGTCGTGGCTTTAGATCAAGGCTGTTCAACTAAACTGCTCCGGGGGCCACAGTTACTACAGGCTAACAGCTCAGTCATTATGTAAATAAGACAAGTAGTGCAAAGATCTGTCACCTTTGATATAGTTTATTTTGCTACATTTAATCATGAACACATTATACAGAACCTTATGTAATAAATGTAGTGATAAAATATAATCAAAAACAAAAAGAACACATTATGCCTCCTTTTTAAAGGGCCAATATTATGTGTTTCTCAGGCTAATATTTAAATACTATACCATAATAAAGTATCTATGTCACCTTTAGTTGTTATGAAAATGCTGTTTTAAGTTTATATAGCAAATAAACTTATCATCACTTCCTCTTCTAAACACCTTGAAATTGGCCTCTGTCTCTTTAAGAACCACCTTCCGCTTCTGTCCCGCCCATTTCAGTGCGGGGGGGGGGGGGGGGTCGCATGCGCCATGATGCAGTTTACTTGGCATCTGAAAATACATTTCCTCAAAGGTATTTAGAATCTGAAAAGAGCTTCACTGAGTGAGAAGTAGTTAGAAGCTCTGCAGACAGTTTAAGTTTCACTTTCAGTTTCACTCATTCTGTCGAGAGCCTGCCAGAGGCGTTTCTGGTCCCAAAAGGCGTTATGGTCCCCACCTGTCGTTTTGCTCCTCAGCATGGCTGCCTAWAAACGCTGCAGGACTTCTCATACGTATGAATGAGTCAGGGCAAGGCTTTGGGCATGTTTTTTATGAGAATATAACATTATAAGATGTTATAAAACTCAAAAAAGTAGATTTTACATGATATTGCCCCTTTAACACAAATAACATTTTAACATCTCTGACTTGCCAAATTTTTAAACCAATTTTGTTTTCACTTTCCATAGTTTTATCTTCAACTGCTTGTAGCTTTAACTTTCTTGAGTGTACATAGAAATGTTTTTTACCAGCTTCTAGACAAGATTCTGACGTTTCTGTAGATACCACATGTCTATGTCCAACTAAAATAAGTTATAATAATTAAAGTAGAAAACCGGCCATTTGGGCTTAAGAGATGGATGAACCAATTGGTGGGCCAAACTTTGGTCACTCGCGGGCCGGATGTGGCCCGTGGGCCACTAGTTGAATAGCCCTGCTTTAGATCCTTTGATGTGTGAGCTCATAATAGATTATCTCTTTAAGTCAGCAAGTAAAATGATTTAATGAACTGGTTTTATATCTGTTGCAAATTTGTCAATTAAAGCTAAATAAAATGTGTGTTAATGTCCAATTTTTCACATTAAACGCCTCAGTGAATATACTCATAATTTTCTTTTGAAAATTCTAATAAAAGAGCTCTTCCTCTGTGGTTCCCAATAACTATGCAGTAAAAGTCAGCTGCGAACAGAAAACTATCTTTAATGTAACATTTGTTTCATTGTTTGTTACTGGATAGTGGATGTTTATTGCGCTCTGTTACACTCGACTGTGGAAACGATCTTCTCAAAGGCTGAAAAAGTCATCGGGCTCTGCTCAGGTTTGCATTGCAGAAGGATCTCATTCCAGCAGCTGCTCTGACAGGCAGACAGGGATCCATAGATGGATAGATAGATAAGGAAGTTGGTGTGCAACGTTTTCTGCTTCACCGTGTTTTTATATATATATATATAAATATATATGACCACCACATGTGTTTATATGACCACCACATGATCTTAGGCCACACACACCGGCGGCTGTAACACATCCATCTTTTGTTGTGTTTTTCTTCAATCCCTCACCATCCATCCTTGGTGCACGGAGCGTGGCCTTGCCTTGTTTGGTCCTGGCAGGGAAGCCTCTGGTAGCGGGGACGGAGCGCTGCTGAAAGCCCGTCCACAGTGATGGACAGCAGCAGATCCAGCTGCACTTGTCGCTGGCTGTCAAACCGGCTGTCCGGGTCCTGGAAACAAGAAGAGACAGGCGGGGAGGTGTGTGTGTGTGTGTGTGTGTGTGTGTGTGTGTGTGTGTGTGTGTG